ATCTAATTTTTTGTCGAATTTTGTGTCGGATTCTGAGTCGGATTCTGAGTCGAATGTAATTCCAGAAGACATATTTTGTACACATTTTAATAAGTGATTATGACAAGTTTGGTCCATTTTCTCAGTAATTTCTGAACAGAGTAGTAGTTCCGAAAACAAGTTTTTCGGTAAGAATACTACTTCAAAACTATCATCGTGAGTAATTTTTTTCGAGAAGAAGTGTCGTGTGCAATTGTCAACAAGTAAAAGCACTTTGCCAGCTATATTGTTGATCTTCTGATGTAGATTCACAAATGGCTTAAATATGTGATTGTAACAGCAAATTGTGGAACTATTCCATTTTGTCTTAAGAATTTTTGCTTTTTCTTGTAGTTTATGAGCGACGAGCAATTTGTTCTCGTAATATTCTGATACACTTTGATTCTCATATTCATTAAATTCATGTTCGTCAGACAGAATAGGAGCTAGTTTGTAACTATTAGTAATATTTGTGCAAAATGTATAAGTTACAATCTTCTTTTTCAAATCGTCAATTTGTTGCACTGAAATTTTGTCTTTGGCTGCGTGTGCTAGCAAGGTCTCAACAAAAGTACTCCATATGAAATCTACTTGGATCATAATATAGATGTTATCTTTACTAATATTTTCCTGCTCTAACCGCTGTCTGAATTTTCGAACAAATTGTTCAGCGTTAGACTGATCGGCCTCATCATCTCTTTGAAAAGAATTTTGCAAAATCTTCCTACTTTTGTATACAGGTAGTTCAATTACGTTACGTTTTTTAAAATTGCACAGAAACTTACTCATGTTTGACGGTCCAGCAACATCTTTTGCAATGTTACATGCTTCCATACGAAGTTGCTCCGAGTCAATTGTGTCTCCTGATGCTTTCCGCTCTTCATACCATTTATACAATTTTTCGTTCAAAATTTGAACAGAATTTTTAGACTTTACTTTAATGTCGTAACGTTTTCTAAAATCTTCCATAAAGCGACTCATTTTTCTTGGTAATTCCTTAACCCTTTTTGCGATATTATATGCTTCCTTAGTAAGCTTTTTATATTGCTGGTAGTCAATTACATTTCCCGGTACGTTCTCTTTACACCATTCATGTAATTGTTTGTCCAATTCTTTAAATTTTGTTTTAGATATTACCTGCTTTCTTTTCATGCTCATTCCTTTATTAATTGATTCGCGTATTTTATCACTTTTCTTCACTATGTAATATACAGTAATATAAGGTAGATTAAAACAAGTGGCAATGTTTTTCACTGAAATGCCACGATCGTATTTTTTCACAATTTGAAGTTTCTTTTCTATTGTGATTTTCCTACGAGCCTTATTGTTAGTTACGCGTTTGGTTGACATGATGAGTTTATATATAAAATTACTTTTACACAAAACTGTTTTACTGTTTACTGACTTTAGAGAAATCCTGTGAAACTTCTCTTACTATACAATATCCGATTTTGAAACACTAAAATTATATTCGCAAAAATTACGACTAAGTTGCTTTTCAGAAGAACCTTCCGAACGAACGCAAATGGAAACACTGGTTCAAAGTCATGCGCTGACTCGAAGAAATATATTTCGCATCCCCGACGTTTGTTTTCATATAGTGACATCTACTAAGACATTATTGTCCATTATTTACAATAACATGATATATAAAATGACAAATAAAGTTATCGAACCCCCCCCCCCCACACACACGAGCTAAATGAATCTTTATTAACATAAAAATTAGAGTTAATTTAATAAAATAATTTTTATTACGCAAAAAAATAAAAATTTATTGATTGCTAAAAGATATAAATTTAATTTCAAATAAAATTTTTTAATGTTTACTTGAATCTAATTCTATTTTTTTTTTTATAGTTACATGTATTAAAATTAATCCAACTTTGTTTACAGAGGGACGTAGAAACAAACGTGGAAATATAGCGTATTTCACATCAATAAAAATTGCACCAATTATTAATATTGCAGTGAAACAAAAAAATTCTTTACTCCCGCGTCTCTTTTGTTCGCACCTGTAACATTTCGAACCGAACGAAATGCTGTTAACTAGTATTTCTTTGCAGCTGGTTATTGACATGTCGGATGTAGACAATTTTATTTTAATCAATTTCAAAAAGTTTGTCAACGAATATATAAATTATGAGAAATGTAACTTATTTCCTTAACTACATAAAATTGTATGCACGTCTTGATAAGTGAACATCGTAATAATAATAATAATGCGAACTTTATATACAAAAATACGAATGTTTCTGCAATACTTAAAGTTCCTCTTCTTCGAATTCTTCCACCAGAACTAAGTATTTTGTTTAATATTTCATTTGAAGTCGTCTATATGAAATCTTCTTCAGCTATTATTAACTATCTATTCTAAATTGCCATGAGATATTTCTGAGTGTCTTCCCTTTCTGTTTTTATTTGTTTTTACTGTCTTCAATAGTTCTTTCTTGTTGGTGATATCTATCGCCTTCTGCGCAAGGAATAAGCAATCGGTCTTTCGTCAGGAACGATAACTTTTTTTGTAGACTTAATTAACTATTGTGAAGTGACAGAAGTTAATGTTGGAATACCTTCTTGTGTTTAACAATTTTGTCTTAAAAATCGTCTCCACAATTCTTCTATTTCCCCCGGCGCGACGTGTGCCAATGCTATAAGGAGTATATCAGTACACCAATCTATATAATTTTCTGTATTGAAAATAGTTTTAAAAATAAAATTTTTCTCCTGTACACATTTCAATAAGCATTCATGACATATTTGGTCCATTTTCTTTATAACATCTGAGCAGAATTGTTCATAAAACAAGTTTATCGGAAAGAATACTACTTCGAAACCATCATCGTGAGTAATTTTTTCCGAAAATAAACGCCGTGTGCAATCGTCAACAAGTAAAAGCACTTTTCCAGCTATATTCTTCTCCTTATATAACGTTACATTTGACTCAAATACATTATTGTGCCATATATTATCCCAAAAAAGTGCGAAACTATTCGATTCTTTCTCCAGATTTTCTGCTGAGACATTTTCTTGTAGTTTATGAGCGACGAACAATTTGTTCTCGTAAGATTCTGATACACTTTGATTCTCATATTCATTAATTTCATGTTTGCCAAACAGAATATGAGCTCGTTTCGTATTAGTAGTAATATTTGTGCAAAATACAAAAGATACAATCTTTTTTTTCATATCATCAATTTGTTGCACTGGGATTTTGTCTTCGGTTGCGTGTGCTAGCAAGGTGTCAACAAAAGTACTACATACGAAGTCTGTTTTGATCATAATATAAATGTTATCTTTACTAATATTTTCCTGCTCTAATCGCTGTCTGAATTTTCGAACAAATTGCTCAGCATTAGATTGATTGGCCTCATCATCCCTTTGAAAAGAATTTTGCAAAATCTTCCTACTTTTGTATACAGGTAGTTCAATTACGGTACGTTTTTTAAAATTGCACAGAAACTTACTCATGTTTGACGGTCCATCAACATCTTTTGCAATGTTACATGCTTCCATACGAAGTTGCTCCGAGTCAATTGTGTCTTCTGATGCTTTCCGCTCTTCATACCATTTATGCAATTTTTCGTCCAAAATTGAAACAGAATTTTTAGACTTTACTTTAATGTCGTAACGATTTTTAAAATCTCGAATAAAACTATTCATATCGTTTGGTGATTTCTCAACTCCTTTTGCGATTTTATATGCTTCCTTAGTAAGCTTTTTATATTGCTGGTAGTCAATTACATTTCCCGGTACATTCTCTTTACACCATTCATGTAATTGTTTGTCCAATTCTTGAAATTTTGATGTAGATATTACATGCTTTCTTTTCATGCTCATTCCTTTATTCATTGATTCGCGTATTTTATCACTTTTCTTCACTATGTGATATACAGTAATATAAGGTAGATTAAAACAAGTGGCAATGTTTTTCACTGAAATGCCACCATCAAATTTCTCCAAAATTTGAAGTTTCTCTTCCATTGTAAAATGTTTCCTAGAAACCTTATTGTTAGTTACGCGCTTGGTTGACATGATAAGTTTATATATATAATTACTTTTACACAAAATTGTTTTACTGTTTACTGACTTTAGAGAAATCCCGTGAAACTTCTCTTACTATACAATATGCGATTTTGAAACACTAAAATTATATTCGCAAAAATTACGACTAAGTTGCTTTTCAGAAGAACCTTCCGAACGAACGCAAATGGAAACACTGGTTCAAAGTCATGCGCTGACTCGAAGAAATATATTTCACATCCCCGACGTTTGTTTTCATACAGTGACATCTACTAAGACATTATTGTCCATTATTTACTATAACATGATATATAAAATGACAAATAAAGTTATCGAACCCCCCCCCCACACACACGAGCTAAATGAATCTTTATTAACATAAAAATTAGAGTTAATTTAATAAAATAATTTTTATTACTCAAAAAAATAAAAATTTATTGATTGCTAAAAGATATAAATTTAATTTCAAATAAAATTTTTTAATGTTTACTTGAATCTAATTCTATTCCTTTTTTTACAGTTACATGTATTAAAATTAATTCAACTTTGTTTACAGGAGGACGTAGAAACAAACGTGGAAATATAGCGTATTTCACATCAATAAAAATTGCACCAATTATTAATATTGCAGTGAAACAAAAAAATTCTTTACTCCCGCGTCTCTTTTGTTCGCACCTGTAACATTTCGAACCGAACGAAATGCTGTTAACTAATATTTCTTTGTAGCTGGTTATTGACATGTCAGATGTAAACAATTTTATTTTAATCAATTTCAGAAATAAATTTTTCTTTAATTTCTTTAAGAAGAACACCGACGTATCAATTACTTTTAAATATAATAAGTAATTAAGAACGTGTAGCGAAAAATAAGTAGTTAAAAAAAATTAAGAATAATTATTTGCGAATGACAGATAAACAGAATGTTTCTTATATATGAGAGTAAAGTTTTATTTACTTACCTTTGAGATATGTTTCCAATTCAGCAGCGTTTTGAGCTGCGTTGGCAGTGCGCACCATGTGAAGAAGGGCCTGAGTAGAAGACATATCGATCATAGGTGGGAATACAGGACTATTGAAGAGACTATCCTGTTTCTGCTCTTTCGGATCTTTATTGGAAAGAGGCGAAGTCGTCGAGACAGTCGGTGGCTGCGGTGCCCCTAAAGGCGCCATCAGACCAACAAACGGCGTCGCCGCTGTCTTAAAAGCCGGAAACCTCGGATCTAAACCCGGAGGATATCCGTTCCTTGATGTGCTGAAGTAACTGAAACAATCAGTCGACTTTGATTGTCAACTTTCTATTTCCTGCATAAAAAGGAAAGGATTTAAAAAATTATTATAACTATTATATATTTGCAGATTTTAAACTTTTCCAGTTTTAGAAAAATTTTGAATTTTTTACAAGCGTTTTAAAACTTTTTAACCTTTTCTTTTTTATCAAGATTTAAAGAATATTAAAATACTAAAATATTATTGAAATTTCTAATATGTATTTTAAAACATCTTAATATCGAGACGAAGAGATGTGCGAGATATGTTTCTTTCTAATCTCCAAATTCATTAGAATAACGTGCCGATTAAATATGATATGATGTGCAAATAGACATGCAGTGAATTAAAGTATCAAACTTTCTCCTTCAAATGTCAAGGAGAGTGAGTATCGCTCTGCTAGAATCTGTTTGGTGTTTAACTGATCAATTAAGTATTCATCTGATCTGCTTCCAACAAGTGCTAGAAGATACAAAGCTGAAAGTCAACGTAGGATGCGAACGGACAACCGGTTTTATGCTAGAGTACATCGGGTCTCTCGAGTACTTCTTACGAATCTTAATCATTCGAATCGTCTATTTGCAGCCTTCAAATTTCAATTTTTACGACAACGTCTCGCGAACGAAAGTCAATATACTCGCATGTCACGTTTCGAAAATATTTAAAAACGTCTCTGAGAAATTATTTTTCTTTAATCACACACAAGACATTAAGATTGATTTTGCAAAAAATCAATAAGACAATATTGAGCAAGTAATATGTCAATTTTCAATTGTACGGTCCATTAAAAATAAAATCGGAATAACATTAATATTGTAATGTATTTTTTGATCATTATTATATTATATAATCCTGTGTGATCAATATGATAAATATAATTTTGTCACAAAAAATCAAATATGCAATCAATAAAGCAAGATAGACATACTCGTTGGGGTTGGCATTGTTGTATTTGGCGGCGAGACTTCTCATGAAATCGCTATAATTTCGCCCCATCATCTGTTCCATGTGCTTGAGATGATGGGGTGGCGGTGGACCCTCGGGTCCTCCCAAGGGTGTAGCATTTGGCGGCGTCCCCGGATGACTCGACGAAGAAGGCGTCACGCTTCTCGACGACGTCGAGTTATTGTCAGGCGTGAGTCGTTCCGTTTTAACCTGCAACGCGAGATGATTGCCCTTCTTTAAACGGAGACCTCACCGTGCGCAACCGGATGCGATAATGAGAAGAATACGGAACTATTAACCGGCAGTAAAAGAAACATGTATATATATATATATATATATATATATATACAAAGTATTAATTAGCAAACGAGAGAGAGAGAGAGAGAGAGAGAGTGTGTAACGGAAGTAAACATTTTATATTACTAATTATAACATCTACGAGTGATACTTTGCTAATATTATAAATATATCGTTTACTTCTTCCTCTCATCTGTATTAATTATAATAAACAATTTTATTTACAATTTTTATATAAAAGATATAAAAAATTTTAATTTTAATAATTTATTCAGTTTGTGTATGTGTGTGTGCGCGCCCAACTGTGTTCGGTAACTTTATTTGTCATCTTATGTATTATGTTATTGTAAATTGTAAATAATGTTCTAGTAGTTAGATATCACTGTACAAAAATGATAAACATCAAAAAATGAAAATATTACTGTTAGTGAGTCGAATGACTTTGGACCAATATTTTTATTCGCGTCCGGAAAGTTTAGTTTCAAATATAAATCAGCGTTTCAAAGTTTCAAAATTACATAAAGTTTTTTGGAATCTTTCTAAATCAATCAGAGAAAATGAAGAAATTGACTAAAGAAGAAATATCTAAAATTAAAGAAAAGTTGAGAAGTAATATTTCGGTAATAGAACTTGCTAACAAATATAATACTTCTGAGACAAATATTTATAAGATAAAGAAAAAATTAATAGGAAAAAAATCCTCCGTATCTAGGAAAGTAGCCACAAAATATAAAAAATTAGACATACAATGGAGATGAAAGTCACAATTTTAATTTCAAGATATTCACACAAACAGTTATGTGTAATTTGTTCTATATTTTTTATTATAAAAAATATGCTATTTTAATTTATATTAATTTTTAATTTAAATTTTTCAACTTCGATTCGTGTATATACATATATTTCGCCACGCGATGACACATATGATTATTAAAATTTGAACTCTTAAATGTGTCCTCACGTAAAGCTGCCATCGGCACGTCTGCGAATTATTCATTTCATCTTATCTACAGTAACAATAATCTTAGTATCTTTATTACCGTCGTGTTTCATGTTTGAATGTTGAAGGCCGTAACCTTCAACAATATACCTTGACAAGAAAAACAACTTTAGCTACGCATCGGCATCGATAATATATTCGCTTAAAATTAGGAAAATTACTTTATTATATTTAAAAATATTCATCTATACAAAATAAATGATTGATCGAAAAATAGGTAATTAATTATTTTCTATACAGTTGTATACATGCAACACAAACGTTTACAACTAATTAAAAAATACCAGAAGCAATAAGGCAATAATAATTATAAATCTCCATTTTTTTCTACGATAAGCAAACATCTGTTTCTCTATTGCGCCACCGATTATCATATCGATATCTCGCGATCACGCGCGCGGCTATAAACATTAATGTATAAACGAGCTCTATATTCATGTATATATAAAAAAAAAAAAATATTGTTCCGTTTCTCTCGGAACGGATCAACAACGGGCCACGCCTTCGATCGTGAGGGATACTCGTCGGCAGCTGCGGCGCACGATACGTTTCGCTCCGGGTGAGATCCGAGGCGGCAGGAAATATCTCGGGTGCATTAATTCCCGGGAACAGATTGCATCTGAGATATGGTAATGAAGGTAACGCGTGGCGTAAGAGTTGACTCCTCTTCGGCGGCGCGGAGAGCGAGAGAGCGCGCCGTGACACTAAGAAGAACGAGAGTCGATTGGCGTAGAATAGGGTCCCCGAGAGCGCTTCGTAGCCGCTCTCGCATAGAGAGGCCACGGTAAATCTCTTTCTCGCCTCCAGACTTCTTCCTGACAAGGGACCGCTTCAGGCTCACGACGCAGGCACGATCTCGTATATACCTACGTTTCGAATAGAGGTTTGCTCGACGATACCTTCGGGTCTCGATAGAGAAAATACGCGAAGGCGAGAGGTAGCGATCGCGAAGTAGCGAACAAAAGTAATTCTTTTTAACACACTAATAGTTTTCACTCGATTGCAGCATAACAGATAGACAGAATAGTTTTTGAGTAAAATGATGTTAAAATTTTTCTTTTCATATATATAATTATAGAGTTAAATTAATATGTTATGTGCGAAAATAATATCTTCGATCTCAAAGCATTGAGTTCAAAATATTAAATGTATGTATAATATTTTCCGAGTCTATTTAATTTTTTGTCAAGGTAATATATTCCAAGCGAGAAAGAGTTGAATTCTTCCGTTCGTATTTATTAACTCGCACGATTCACTCGAACGGATTGTCGATACGAAAAGTTAATAAGTCAGAATGATGCTCGCCACACGCACGGGATTAATATCTCGAGTTGCTACTATTCTTCGAAAACCTTTCTATTCATATGGATCCGAGCTAGGAGAAATTCTCGCGTGTCACGAACAGGCTATTCTTTCTACCGATGATCATCAATTTTTTACCATCACGGCTCTAAGCACTGGCTAAGCACAGCCACCAAAGACTCCTCTTTAATTTTTTTCCTTTCTTTCCTTTTGGTCAAGTCGTTTACAGAAGCGTCGAACGGGTCGACGGATGTCAACGGCGGAATGACACTGCGGCTTTCGACGCAGTTGACATAGTTGCTGCATGGTTGGTTCTGAACGGGACTCTTCGTGTACACGTGTACGAGCTACCGCTCAGGCAGCAGGAACGATGGACTCTCTCGTCGAGGATATCTCCCCGGACTAGCGCACGTGTCCCGAAGTGCTCAAACACTCCACTTCACGGAAGAAGCAGCGGGTCTCTCGAAAAATTTGTACAACAAATCTCGCGTCCTCGCGGCAACTCGCGTCCTTCTCTCCCAACGCGCACGGATGAAAAAAAAAAAAAATAAAATAAATAAAAATTCCGAACGACGCGTCTTCAGTCACTCTACGTCAATATACTAAGATTGTGTTTGCCTATGTGTGCGTAGAAGTTTTGTGTGCCGTGTCAAAATTTAACTCCAAACATTCTTCGTGAATCTTTTCGGAAGCGAATAATCAGAAGTTAAAAAAGAGCAAATATTATTCGAGATATATCGCGAGTTTGAGAATATTAAATACCTACATTAATAATAATAATAATTGCTAAAATAACGATAAAAACGCACAGAGCGTCCGTGAAAACAGAAAACTTTCACTTACTTGTGTAGTGTCGAGACCATTCTGATTCTGCCGCCTTCTACCCCTTGGAGGTCTGGGGGTCGCCGCACCGGACAGGTGGGCGCCCTGAGGGCTCCCACCCCTGGCGTCGACCGCTGTGTTCGCTGCCAGGGTGGCCCCGTCGTTGTTTTCCGTATGTGTACCTAAATCCGCCGCTTCCCCACGGTCGCCGCCGCGTGCTGGTCCCGTGCCCGCGGACACGTTTTCGCCCGACACCTCACCTGAAACAATCAAACGAAAAAATGTACATTCATTCTCGGTCCATAGAAAAAATTCAAAATCTATTGAATTTTATTTTGTCAAATAGATTACGTGAAAGATTAAGATATACCATGCCTCTAATGTGAGAGGTTTTGGAAAGAATTAAAAAATTTCGATCGTACGTGTCAATCCTAAATTCGGACGAAGAGATAATTCGCCGTATTAATTCATTCGCGCGCGAGATGGCTTCGATTTCGAAACGAGGCGGCTTAAAACTGAAACTCCTCGCGTCGTAAAGCTTTTGGAATGTCCCGCCGTGTAAACGGTCTTTCGACGCCGAGAATTCGGATGAAATACGTTGAAAGAGATAACCGTAGGACGCGATTACACACAGTGACGGCGCTAGCCACCGGCACGGGAGATTTACGCCCAATAAATGATCCCGTCCTGACGCCATTATCTTCTGCGTTGATCAGAGACCCGGCGAGGATCGATCGAGAGAAAAGGCGCCGGGGAACGGGAAGAATCGCGGGGGTCACTGTCCACCACCTAAAATATCAGATAAATTCTTGTCATCGTTAAACGTCCGGAATTTTATGGCGGCAATAACTCGTTCGCGTCGCCGAATTTGCCGGCCGATACGATCGACTGCGGTTTAATGCAGCAACGTGAGAGAGATACGAGAGCTTCGTATTTTGTAGCTCTTTTCGCACCGGGTGTGCACCGTTATTTTTTTTCTCATCTTCTTCGCGATGAAACGCGTCTCATCGGTCAGATAATTATTCCGTATTAACAAATATTTTTTCGATGCCTAATAAGATATTTTTATTTATCAACCGAAACGTATATCGAAGAGTATAACTGATTTTGAATTAGTTAAATCGCCAATTTTTTATTGGATCCTGTAATTGAAGTATCTGGCAGTAGCTTTTAAAAAAATACATAAACACCTCCAATAAAATTCCCTCGCACAAATTTTCTCGCAGTAAAACGGTATCGGAACGGGCATATTGTGATTATTTTTATAATGCCTACAGTTAACACTTTTAGACAGGCTCTGCTCAACTGTTATCGCGTTATATTCTACAATCCGGTTGTGGAAGCGGCTTCATAGCGGAATATACAGCAAGGGTAGCGATCGTAAAAACCATTTCTATGATACTACCAAATGTCTTCATTATTTCGAGTTAAAATATTTACAACTGCCCATAAAAATTCCATTAAGCACTATTTGCTAGCGAGTTCCCGGTCTCTCGACGAGATGTTCGAAGACGCGTTCTCTCTCTACGTATCCTCGCCATAAAAGAATAGTTGTAAAATCAGAGACTACGCGGACAACAAACATTGTCGACGCATCGTTTAATCGACGAATTGGTTGCTAACGAGAACGACAGATAGAACGACACGTTATTAATGACAAACGTTCGACAGAAAAGTTTTGGAATGTAACTTAATTAGCTTTAATGAATTTCAGAGTGAGGTCACGTCGGATCAATGATTTGTGGACTGCTAGATTTTATAGCATCCTGTTAAATATGCAGTAAAACAGAAAATATAAAATATATGTTGATGAAAAACGCAGTTATTATTTAATTAAGTTGTTGAAATCGTGACTAGTTGTTGAGAAACAGGGATTTCAAATTCCTAGAATATAAATTTCTAATTATGAAGAGTAAAGAGTCGTACATGTTGACAGTGTTACAATGATTTATCTTTTGATAAAAGATTCTTAGTCGTACATTCGAAGACGTCGTGTTTTGCGCAACAGAATTTTTTTTCTCACATTTTCTCACGTTTTTTCTTTGCAAGTTTTACATTGGTGGTAGCGCGCTGACGGCACGTATAACAATATCTTAACGACTTTCAAGGGTAGAAGCCATTGTTTAAAGATCGTCCGAGAGTGTTTTCTTGTCCAAGTTGAATTTGACGATATTTGCATAGTTATATAAAAATGATTTGTGTAGTTACACTCGCGAAAATAGTTGAAGTTCGAATTTACTGAGACACGTAGGAGACTCTTATCATTGCCGCATGACTCATAAGAGATATAAATATGTTATAGATAAAATATAATAAAATTATCAGGTGAAGCAACAATTTATGTATAAATACGAATCATGAGATATTTAAATTCTTAGATAACATTTGAAAAATTATTTCAAAATATAAGACTTAATTTTTTTTAACAAGCAGCAATATATTTCTAAAGCAACATATTGCACCATCTTTAAAAGTTTCATAGTCAGATTTTCAATAAATACTATTCGCCCCAAAGAGTTTGCCAGAGGACTTCGTTGCACGTAAACGAAAGAGGTTACAGCAGCAGCGGATATCTACGGCGATAATACTGAGAACCACGCAAGGTCTGAGTGTGAAATATCGTAACGACGTGTTAAAACGAACTAACATGCAACGCACGTATCTCTCGCGACAATACCCGCCAATCCATGAAGCCCGTACGTCAAGATTGCGCTCGTCAGTCGGTCGACGAAAGCATGAGTCAGGGTTACGCCGACACTTTGGCGTCTCGGGCAGAGATAATACGTCGTTTTATACGCGAAATAAAGTATACAATGTGTTCCCCAATTTGTGCCCGGAATCTCTAATCCAACGCGCCTGTAATTAGTGTAGAAAGTAGAAAGTACGACGTGCAAAGGCGCGCACACAAGGCGGGAAAGAAACGATAATCTTACCGCAAACAGTAGTTTTGCGCTTCTGATTTTATCTTAATATACCGCATTTATCAAGACACGCGTGTAATTTACCGGTTTTAGCGAGGCTAAGTCAGTTAACAATTTCGTTCCCGGGCGAGACAGGTTTCCGCGAGAAAGAAAGCCACCGAGAAGAGACAGCGAGATGGGACACCAGGAACTCATAGTAATAGCGCACACACACCGTAGTCATAAATTATCCGGCGCGACCGCGGCTAAAACGAATTGACCTTCGAGGTCACGGTGTAGTCGAGTGCCGCCGCGACGGAAATAGAGCCGGTGGACCTCTCTTCCCTCCGGGGTCGGCGTTAATTATTCCTAGCGTTAAGAAGTTTCAGAAATTTCACCGAGCTGAGAATTTTGCCACGATCCCGCGGACGAGATAGAGGCGGACCGGGAAAGTCGCATAATATAACGCGTCGCGAGATCTGGGCATCGATCCAACATCCGGCATCCGGAGATAGAAACGTCAGACGTTTCCGCGAGACGCATTCATTGTTCGATGACTAAAAGATATGTCAACGTGAGTTCTCGTACATATAAACGCGCGTGAACCCTTTCGAAAGTCAGAATGCGTTGTTGCAATTTTTTATCGCTACCACCCAATAGCTATCAATAATAGAAAATTTAATAAACTACATTAATTTATAAGAATATATTATAATATTAATCAAATATAAAGGATATTTACTTAATAACGATAAAATCTCATGATTTTTGATAGTCTAGCTGAAAACCGGATACGGACGCATACGTGACGTTTCTTCTGTTCGGCTGTGGCAAGGATGGCCTAGCTAGGGTCACGTTCGCGTTGCCGAAGCCAAGCGGTCGGGTCCATGTGCGTGCGTATACGCGAGGTGCGCGTGTACGCACGTCGTGCAGTCGCGTACGTCCGCATCCGGGGTCGGCTCGACGCTTAATGAACGATCAAGCTGGCTCACGCGGCGCGCAGCCCGTCATTACGAGCTACCGCAGCGAAAAGTCTCATCATTTCTTTTTGTCTTCCTCTTCTTTCATACGCTCGACTTTTCTCTAGCCCCGACAGGATGCTCAATGGAGGATTCTATTTTTTTCCCTACACGTGGATTATCTCCGAGAGATCGGTTAATCTTGCTGAGTCAAACGATTTCAATAGTATCGCGAGCTATTCCATCTTGCATGTTGCAATCAAGAATATCTTAATTTTTTTGCTCCTGAGCATAATGAGATTTACGATACGTGCAATTTTCTTACAATAGAAAAATATTCCATCAAATAATTATCAGTTTTTTTTAATGAAACTTATTATAAATGTATTCAATTATTAAGCTTTGATGAAGAAATTAAACATCACTGCAAATATTTTTCCAAAATAAATAATTAATAATTTATGTAATTTCATAAAACAATGTTATAATAATAAAGTATTATAATATAAAATTATTTCTAATAAGAAATAATTGTACTAATTATCAATACAGAAAACTATATGACAAATATCAAAATTGAATAACAAATATAAAATTTTTTCTCTACTGTGTCATTAATTACCACAGGTTTTCCGCAACGATTTATTGTCGTCTACTTTATTGCTCTGTCTAGTAGCAGATAATTGTAATTGACTTGAATGGCCTTTAAAACTCGCGAATGACTCGAAGATCAGAACTATCATCACGATTTAAAGCTAATGTGATCACCTACTTTTATACGGTTCTTGCTTAATCACTTTTCTAAATCCGCTGAAAATTATGCATGCGTAACTAGCAGGACCGGTTGTACGAGATAATATAAACTGTTGTCGCTTCAAACGCAAATATTAATAAATTACTTTGGAAAAAATCGAAGAAATTAATTTTCCAATAATAAAATTTATTATAATTAATTATAAAATCGTTAAATCTAATCGAAAAATCGAAACAGTCTTTATAAAATTTCTGTCAAAAAAAAACATCGCGTAAAATGAACGCTATTCTCGTATAAAGTCGAAATAATTAATCATCAAGTAAGGTACACCGGCAACATGAACGAGCGTTCGCAAGGATAATACCTATCGTCCATGACGACCTTTAAAGGCCGGACGAAGGAGCGCGAGAAACCGAGAAGAGGGAGGAAGAGATTACTGTCGTGGCGTTAACACGATCAACGCCGTCAGCAACCACGCGGCCGTTGCCGGATCTCTCTTCCCGGCTGCTGTAAACCCGCCGTGAGTTATGCGCGACCGGGAGGGCTGCCTCGCGCTTGGCCATTAAAGCGGGTTATGCCCATTTCAAGTGGAAAATCATAAGCACCGCAAATACGCCGTCATTACTACAGACGCGCTACGAGCTCGC